TGCTTTTTTACCCAGACATTTAAAAAGAATATATTTGGAGCAATAATCACAATATTGTAAAACAGTGACATTTTTATCCAAAGTTATCATCCTGTCAGGAAAAAAAAAAAAAAAAGAAGTTTAACTGCCAGAAAAAGCCCTTTAATATCAGACTGAAGACTCGAAAAAAAAAAGAAAGCATCAAAGGTTTTCAGCAAATATGGAAACAATTTTACTCAATAGCAGCAATATTTCACTCAACACAAAAGCATATGAAATAGATGAATTGCTGTGTGTGTGTGTGTGTGTGTGTGTGTGTGTGTGTGTGTGTGTGTGTGTGTGTGTGTGTGTGTGTGAGCAAAAAACACTTTTTTTTTAACTCGGAATTATGAATTATGCACTCAGACATTGACAAATAGATTTACTTTCACATCTTGTCCCCGATCCTAAATTAGAAGTCTGAAGATTCAAAGTTTGATGTTTTAGTGAATATTATAATTCTTTTTTTTTTTTTTTTGGCTTCTCAAAGAGCGAGATGTCAGGGTGTTTTTTTCTCCCTCTGATCTTTATGATATCTAATTTCTAAAAGTGTCTCTTTTCAAGTCATTGTGAGCAGGCCATCAAAAACAAAAAAAGGGCCATCCAGAAACGCTCAGCCCAAACTATTAAGATTAGCCTGAATCCATCAGGGACGGCGTTAAAAATAAACTTCTGCTCCTCATTTCTAAAGTTGGGATTCTTCAGAAGGCAGCGTAGCAGGGCAAGTGTGCCACACAGCCAGAAACACTGCAAGCCTTGAGCAAGACTTCCCTGCCATGACTTAGTTAGCTCTTCTCCAGAATAAGGCATAGATCTAATAAAACACACTGGAAAATATATAACCTGGTGTCATCTTGTAAACAGTCTAAAAATTAATACAATGAAAATAAATTCTTAATACGACCTAAATGGTGCAACTTACTTAAGATTCAACAGTGCAAATTAAATTCATTAGACAATGATTTAGGATATTCTCAATTTTAAGTGTGTTTTCTGTGTGCTGAGCAGTTAGAATAGTCTGCAAGCAGTAAACAAGTATCAAATACTTTAGTTACAAGTAAACAATAATTTAGGCAACAGTGACAAATAAGCTCTTCAAGCTGTAGGTGATCATTAAATGCAATGATATAGCTTTTAAAATTCAGGTTGTTGCAGGAGTTCTTTAAAGAGCACAGAAGAGCAAAAACTGGTAGAATTATAATAATCTAAAGTAAAAATGGCACTTGTCATCTTTAATACTACAAAGCTTTATAAATGTCAAAGTAGGGCTGCTCTATACTGAAAAAAATAAGCAATATTGTTGTTAATTATTTGTTAACGATGCAAAACAATAATAATTATAACAGTTAAACTATAAAAATAAAAATTAAAATGCTGTTTTTATTAGCTATGATTTTAATAATTTATCTATGTAATAATATAAAAATCAGGTAAAATATATTTTTCAGATCTAGTTTAATTTTATTCAGAGTAAAAACTGCATCAGTGACTGTTCACATGGACATCAGTAATCAAATTATTGGCCTAAAGGCCCGTGCACACCAAGACGTTTTTTGCTCGCGTTTTCAGTCGACGATTTACACCCCGTGACTCAATAAAGGGCGTCAATGTGATCGTGCAAACCAACGAGCAAAACGCCAGGAGCAAAATCGTCATTTTAAAAAAAAAACCTATGCTCGTTTTTTTTTTTGTATTGACGCGCCGTGTCAAACCCTTCTCCACAAATCAAATCGGCACTTTTGTTCACGTGCACGGAGCTGCTGAAGTTACAGTAAACAGCACTTGGAGGCGCTCAAGCGCAAAGCTGTCAATGCGAGCGCACATTGAAGAAGATGCCTAAAGGCTATATGAATGTGGAGCTGCTTATTGCTCTTGTGAACAATAAACATTTCTTCATCGCTAGAGCTGGAGCTGCTGCTTGAACCATCCATGCTTGTTTAAGTCACCAGTAACTTTAACAACAAGCATGTGAACTTCCTCTCCTCCTCTTTTTCTGTGTTATAAGCGGGTGTCAGAAGCGTAAAGTTGTATAGCGCCATCTAACGTCAAGGAGTGATTTTGCATCCTCTTCTGCTTGACGCCAGTGAAAATCGTTTGGGTTTGAATATGGAAAACGTCTCGTAAAACGCTGACGATAAACACAAACGAAAAGCGTCCCGATGTAGAGGAGCCTTCAATCTAAATAAAGTGTTTACATGAGTTGCTTTTTGAATGTTCCTTTTATGATCTGCTTTCACATGTTACAGCACATAATTTGATTAACGGCATTGCATCTCTACGCTATCCTCCAGTTTCATGTAATTTCGGGTGTTTAATTTTTAGTTTGTCAATTTTAACTGCAGTTTGGCACTTTCACTTTCATTCAGGAACATTTCATGCATGCCTCCAATGTATAAAGAGATGTTGGATGAGAGTATGAACTGCTGTAAGAGTGTCGTTTAAATAGAACTTGATGTATGGGGAAAATAAACCTCCGCATTTCATCATGCAGGTGTCTGTGGTCGTTTACTGACTCTGTAGATATAGAGAATATTTTCAAACAGCCATGTGTGTATAGACTATCCTGTTGCAAAATGTGATTGATTGCAGTGTTTACTTGTCTGTTGGCTACTGCACTTCAATAATGTGACCAAAATTGGCATACTCCACATTTTAAAAAACTAATCAAATAAAATCACTGTGTACAAGATGAATCTTAATCAGATTAAATTAATTAAATTAATAGTCTTAATTGTTTTAAAGTCAGGTTATTGCCGTCCATGTAAAAGAGTGAAAACCTCAGCAGATATTTTGACTGATTGAGCGGTTTCTCGTCTTTTATCTCGACTCAGCCTATTATTGTTTATTTTCAGCTCTGGGTTCACCTTTGGGCTGCTCCAGCTAATACCAAAACAGCAACTACAATGGTGGCGTGATTACAGATAGTAAGTCCAAATCTGATTGATCGGGCCGTCAAATTGAATTAAATAACCACTGCATAAAATTATTGATCACATGTATGCAATACGTACATTGCATGTACAATTATTGCGATAATGATAAATTTGCGATATATTGTGCAGCTCTTGTTTAAAGCTACAGTATAAAGTGTTATATGCATAAAGGAAAACTGAATAAGATGGAGTGCAAAAAATGAACTACATTTATTTACCTGTTTTTAAGACTTAAGAAGTTTTTTTGTGTCTCCAGAATGTACCCTATTACATCAGAGCAGTAAAATCCCAATATTCTCAAATGTATAACAAATAATCTGATGGGTATCTGTAAAGTTGAGCTAAAACTTTACAGATACCAATCAAAAAAAGTGTTTAGAGCATTTTACTGCTCTAAACACAATGTAGCTGTTTTTGTGGCCTGTGTTTTTAATGCTAGTACTCCCCACTCCCCATTCCCACGTGCCTGTCAGAGTCTGCTTTAATCTCCACCTCGGCTGCTTCAGATAAACAGCACAGTGACAGACATAAAGGAAGTAGATCTCACATTACATTTGTGAGAAATACTACAGTAAGAACTTTCCCAATGATTATTTGATGCATTTGTTGAGTAGTTTTAACGATGAGTCACACACAATGTTGTACACACAGACACATACACAGCATGCGCGTTTAACTTTGCACTGTTTTAGCATGGCAAATGCAGGATACTTGTTAATATCCACTGTCGTATGGATATCCGTTACGTTAATGTATGAAAAAAAAACCTGATTTAATGTACACAAACCAGGATTGAAGCATCTTTTTTATAATTGTACTGACATGCAGCTATGGTGATAAAGATGGTAAAATTGCTGTTATTCATTACAAACTGTTTTAAAAACTTTTTTAAACTTGTAATAATCATTCTAGATTACATCTGATGATGGTTGATGATCACAGCAAGTTGAACAGATCTTTTAATCTCACTTGCTTTGTTCACGTCCAGACTTGTGTTTATGATTTTATGCGTTACTACAGAGGCATGTTAATACAGAACTGTCAGTCATTTAAGTGGGCAGGGAAACCACACTCCTACGTCACATTGCAGTGGGCCTCACGATTGGAGGGATTTGGATCCCATTTTAACATCAGGAAATTAAAAAAAACAAGACTAATGCTGCGGTCACTCAAGAGTTTGTGTGTGCGCAATCCTGTTGTATGGCGCTGCGAAAAGGGGCAGGATTAAATAAAATTAAACATTAAAAAAGCTTAAATAAATAAAAAATGCTCTGTTTTAAATTTCTTTCCAAGAGGTCATATTTTGATCTTCAATTAGTCTCACGCAGTCATGTGATGCGATTTCAGGTCAGACATTCACCAAGCTTGAACTTTGCAATGCAGCGAACTAGACAACTTCTCGCACGAGCATGCTTTTTCAGTCTGACGCATTCGCATATGATTGGAAGTCTATGGGGAGAAAGTTTATTGTGACCGTAGCTTTATTGTGTTTATTTCACTCCAATATGACCGTGGACACACTCTACCTACAAAAAGCCCTGTCCAAACAGCTTACAAAAGACTATTTTCATCATAGGTGCCATGATAAGCAAAGCCATAATAAAATGCTTTTTTAGCTGATGCTGTTTTGTAACCAATGTAATGTAGTGTGTAAAATGTTTTTGCCTTTTAAAGAACAGAAAAAAAAACATTGCTATGAATACACTGGGCTCTTCATAAGAAGAAAATAATACGATTTAAAATCAAAACTTTTTAAATATCTGTATTACTTCTTTTGATAGATTTAAAGCATAGCATTCATTCGCATTTTTCATTTTGCCGTTGTATCAATACAACCCTTGAAAACAAAAAGTAAATAATCTTGCAGTGAAATATCATCAAGGCATCCAGACTTCAAGGATACGATCAAACAGACACAAAGCCCTCCTCCGACACTTCTAATAAAGCCGTTCGCCTATTTGCCAGACATTATTTACACATTAAGCTTTTATTAGCTTCCAGGAATTATGACAGGCCTGAACGGAAAGTGCTGTCAGGTTATTGACTCACATTTTCGTCTCTGGTGTGAAGAATCTCTTATCTGAGCACGCACATCTTCTCGGGAAGCACTCCGCAGAAGAGCTGCTTTGTTGCGGTCCAGAGAGAAGTCACCAGCTCAGTCGCAGGCTACAAGCTGATCACACGGTAAGAGGCCACTACTGTAGACAGAGAGAGAGAGGGAGAGATGAGGGACTTGTTTGAAGTCTCTACTTAGTTGAACAGCACACTCACACACAGTAAGCACACTTCACCTGAAACTCTCGCGCACTGATATCTAACTGGCTGCAGGTTTTTCTGATGCCTTTTATGGCTCATTTCCAATGAGCAGTACAGGTCAGTAGAGTACTTTTTCCATTTCTACTGTCAAAAGGTGTAAATTAGGGATGGTTAGTATGACTAAAACAAAATATAGTTATTCAATTAGGTTATTTAAAAAAAAAGTTATAATAAAAAAAAACTTAAACATTAAAATTAACGATTTTCATTTATTTGGACTTTGATAAATATAGTAGTAAGGGTGTCACGATCCTCCAAATCCTCGATTCGATTACATTTTCGATTCTAAAGGCACGATTTGATTTTCGATTATGAATAATTAATAAATTAATGACCAATTAATTATTTGTAGCCTACCGTTTAAACTACCAGACCTGCATGGTCTTTGTTTTACCGATAAACAAATCATACAGTAAATGAATAAAGGCAAGATGCACACATAATTACCACCTGTCAATCACTTTTTCTGCGGGACTCGTGAATAGGCAGTGATTGTGTCATTATAATGGCGTCGGTAAAAAAGACGCACAACCAACAGGAACCAGCCAACAGTATCTGAAGTGTTCACTAAAATGACTAATCACAAGTGAGTGAAAGATTGAAGCAGCCCTCTGACTGCCTGGACCTGCTGTCTCAAGCTCATATGGCTGTGTGTGCGTCTGTGTCTGTGTGGTCACGTGATGTTTCAGAGGTAGAGAGGAAGGAGGGCTGCTCAGAAATGCTACACGCCAATGTGGATGTCAAATAGTTGTCGTTCTAAAATGCCATTTAAAAACAAAGACAGTGTAAACAGGGCCTGAGTGTGAACTTTTCACGAGCGGATTTGCAACGGGGGTGGCGGAGGATCGCAATGCCGGTGTTGTCTATCAGACGAACCGTACGTAATACGTACATAGCAGAGCTTGCAAAACTGTGTTTTTTGTCGACAACATGAACGTTGTCAACGTAACTCACTGGAAATCCAAAATGCTCACACACCGGCGACTTCATTGAAAGAGGAGAGGGTTTAAGTTCTGTCAACGGTCTCCTTCTTCTGCAGTTTAACAAGCACTTCAACAAGCCTGTTTTTTCCCGCTTGGCAAGCCAAGCTGACGTGACATGGGGGCGTGGCAGCATCGACGATTCTATTTTTTGATTCGATAATCGAAATGGAGCATAAATTTCGATCGATTTCGATTAAAAATCGAAATCGTGACACCCCTATATAGTAGGGATGCAGTGTTTCCTCTAGGATTTTTTCCAGCTGTGGCGACAGGTCTTTTACGCAAATCTACCATCTACCTATGCGTATCTCAATGACAAATGGAGAAATGTGGTGAGCGCAGTACACGTCGGGGTTGCATTTATGTAATGCTTGCGTGCTGATTTGCTCTGCTCGTGCACAAAACTTCTTGCACGCCCTCAAACACGCTGCTCAAGCGCAGAACTTCTTGTGCACTCTCAAATAAACACTGCTGAAGTTAGCGCAGTGCGTATAATTTATAGCGTATATGTGGTGAGTATGTCTCAAACATTACCTAGATTTGCTAAGAATATTTATGAATGAGACCTACAGATCGGTATTAATGCGCTCTGAAGTAAAGTGAAACGGCAATAAACTACTCAAACAAGATAACGTTAAAGTATTTGTATGCAGAACCACAGACCTTTATCTATAAATAAAGTACAGTTATGGAAACTGTGTTTATCTTAACTGAAAGCTACGTCGTGTTTGCTGGCCTCAACGCGTCGCGCACCTGTCAGTTAGTCAGTCTGTCAGCATGTCACCGTGAAGTGTTAAACACATAGCGCACAACACTACTACGGTAACAGAAAAGTTCGCGCTGTTATAGGCCTAATTCACTTACCTTTTAATACGTTTTGGTGCGATTATCACCCACTATTAAAAACAACAATAATGAATAAATGTTTTGATTTAATAAGAAGCTGTAATGTAGCCATGGCAGGATGAATTTTGGTGAGGCGCCCCGCCATGGAAGAATGATTGTAGCAGAAACTATGGGATGCATTGAACAATATGTTTTTTTTTGCTGATAATTTCAAACTCCTTTTGACACAGTCTTTTTTCTGTCTGAGTGTTTTTGAGAAGTTTGCCACTATTAAGAATTACTATTTTTATTCCTCAGAAGTGTTCTCACTAGAGCTGGGCAATTTAGCCTAAAATCAAAATATTGATTAATTGAACATTTTAACTAGATTGATAAATGATTAATTTTTTGCCTTCATAGTTCTGACAGGTTTTATACAGTAAAATGTGCTCATATATTACAAGTGAGAGATTTTTGAATAAAAGGGTGCATTGCGTGATTTTAAAATAATCGAAGACAACATAAACTATCCACTATCTATGAGTATTTATTGCACATCAACGTTGAACAACTGAAATTCAAACACACATTGCCTAAATCCTGAGCCTAAATCACTTTTTATGAAAACAAATAATTTGCCTTTAAAAACTATTTTTTTTTATTGTTTTCAAGAGTAGAAAACAAGCAGTATCTCTTCTAAATAAAATAACTCTTGTATATCCTGCAAGTAATACTTGAAACCGTGCATTTTTTTTTATCTTCTGTAAACAAATATTTTAATGTCAACAATAATTTTATTTTAATAGAAAATATGTCATCTTAAGAAATCTCTGCCGCAGCTTCCAGTCATCGTCAATGTAGCGCAAATGAGCAATGTTTACTTACATTTTTAATAGGTGCGTGGCTATGCGACTGTGTGAAGACTGTGCCGGATTCTACCCGTGCGTTCGACGCAGAAGTATAAACCAGCCTTAACAGAGCTGGGTCACACGTGATAGTGAGAGTAATTGAAAAAAAAAACCTGGATAAATTAAATCAATAATAGGTTCTGAATGTCGATTACGACTACTTTAATTAATCACCCAACACTACTGCTCACATTAAATTCAAATTACATTTGTAATTTTCTGACCTTAAATAAGCTTTGTTCCAAGAAAGAAAACAATATTTATTAATATAACAGCAAACCCTAAATAAATGTCACATGGGAAACACATTAGGACCCAGTGGGAGGCTGATTTGGAGTGTTTGAATAAAAAAATAAAAGAATTTATAGAGCAGATACTGAAATTAGCTTTCTATGATTGGTGTTATATTGAAGAAGTCTATAATATGTATATTTACTTTCATTTTCCTTTTACAATGATCTATGTGAAATGGTTGCATCACAGGCATTAGGCATTAGGACCTGTGGGAGGCTGTTGGACCTGATTCACTTACTGAGGGATATTGTACACAGAGTTATTCTGTACCCACATTCGCAGTTTGAAGTAATCCAAAGCATGTAATCACAGGTAATTCACCTCAGACTGCTGTCATGATCTTACAACGCGTAGTAATCTGTGCTTTCCTCTGTATAAACTTGCAAGTTAGAAATGGTCACTTATTTACGTAAAGCTACACATGCAGAATTTAGGAACAAAAACTAATTATGTTGACAATTTACTCCATGGCAATGATTATAGACCATAGGGAATTCACATACAAGTTAACTTTTATGCTCTGCCATGATGCTTTTTAATTGACGTCAACTGATCATGTTGCAGGGCAGCGTGATCGTTGTTAGCCTAGAGCACCAGTTCAGTTTGTTCCGACCTTGTGTACATGTAGCTAAAACTCACTTATTTAAAGGCCGGAACTAATGAACGTGCAACAACTTTAATCATAAGGTGAACACAAATCAAAAGTTTCCATCTAAAGCTCCTTCACATGACTTGACACTTGTAAACCTTCGCTCCAACGGGTTCGCATGGCTTAGTCTTGCCCGCACATCATCGGGACCAAGCCAACCAATCACAGAGCTTGTCCTACGTGTCGTTGTGACATACATTTTTTTTGAGAGGTGCGCATCAGAGTAGGCGGCAGCCACAGCAAGGGCTATGGAACCGCGCCAAGGCTGCACCGAATCACATGCATGTGCTTGATGCAGAATTATAAATCAGCCTTTAGGAACACACAATGCTTTAAGCATTTATTTTACACAGAAATTAGTCAGTGTTACTGTTGCATTGTTAGTAAACCGTAGAGTGCTTAGTGTGTTGACTGCATTTAATTCATACTAAAATTAGGCCTATATTGCAATATTTTAAACTGTGAAACTGCATCTGTACATATTATTCTTGCAAATAAATAGCAAATTTTTGCATGCTGCAAAACATTTGCATCTGTGTTTTACTAATAATATATATTAGGGGTGTAACAATATATCGTATTACGATTTATTGCGATTCAAAAATATCACAATATGCATCGTGGCCTTATGACGATTTTATTACGATATGACGTCCATTTTCTCTTATTAGTTGAGCTGTTTAGTTGAGTTCAGATTGATTGAACTAGCAGTAGTAGCGTTAGCAGCAGGCCAAGATGAGTGAAATTGAAATAAAGGATGGCTCATCCTCTCAAAGCCGGACATCTGGCAACATTTGGGTTTTACAGTCATTGTTTTAGACTCATCCCCTTTTTGACACGCATACTGGGTCAAACATAATCTTCATATTGTTTTACATACTTTTACATTAATCTGCAATTAAAGTCCACCATTTAATAATTTGTCAAATAATTTGATTACTGACGTCTATGTAAATACAGTCACTGTCTTTCTCCCCTGTGTAAATCAGCATGTGCCCAAACCGACACTCCTATTTTTATGCTAATTTTAACAGACCTTCCCTATTTTGCTCCTCCGACACTCCCCCCTAAACAGAGCTGGACACCGCCACTTTCCTGACTTTTTCCAAAGTAGAGGTGTGAAAAAACCCTGCTGAAATAAGGGGGTATCATGGCCCTTTAAAGGCAGAGAAATGCACTGTCTATGAAACCTTGCGGCATCATCTGGCAATAAGTACATACAT